ACAGGTCAGAACATTTGTTTGTGTAACAGTTTTTTTCCCCTGAGCTTAAGTAGGGTTATATTAAGGACTGGATGCATAGTTTTTAAAAAGATTTCCCAGAGCATTTTTTATCACATAATACCAAGAGTTTGCTGTTTAAAGATATATAAAACACAACCTGTTTCAGTGTCATTTAGACTTGCATATTCTGTCTATTTATTGTTTCTCCCTCCGCCACAGTCTCATCTGATAACGTATATGGATTAAAGACTAATAATATAAACAAGTAGCTGGTCCACTTCAACGTGCCCATGATGTGTGGCTTCTCCTCCTGACGTTGTTCGTGCTTGCCTTGTTGGACCCAGTTGAGGCTCGGCTTCGCCTTGCGCTATGCTAGTCATTTTCTTGACGCAGTCCAGGAGTACTCAGGTGACGGTTGCTGGGAGGATCATTTGTTTAGCCATGGATTATAGTGATGACACCGCATGAAACAGATGGTGTTGTTTTCCTACTTTAAATCGTCCTTGTGCATTGGGTCTGAAAGTGTTCTTGCTATATCCAGCCAACATTAAGCTGATCCATGGATCTGAACAATTTTTTTCTCGGACTTAGCAGAGGAAGCAAAATATCTGGGCTCCCTGGATCCTGTTGTAATCATTAATTCTGTGGAGCACTAAAGATAGCCACTTCTAGTTATAAGGTTGGTGGGCTGTTTTCATTTTTTTTCCCTAACACCATAATGACCCATTTTGTGATCAGTGGAGAAGGAACTTGTTATTTTTGGTGGTGTTTAGATTGAATTTTCCCTGATGTTTTCACCTTCACCTTCTATTTTAATAGTGAAAATTGCTTACCATTAAAGTTTTATTATCACTAGGTCACTTTTATTTATTCATATTCTGCTGCCTAACTGAACCTTCTCTAATTGTTCTTTGGATTTATTTTTGTCTTCTTTAATAGCGGTTAGCATAAAATTAGTCAAGGTTGGACTATGGTATGCTCTCGGTATAACACCATCTGCAATAATGGCTTTGTTTTTTATTTTATTTAGTTTTACTTTTTTTTGTTCGCTTTTTTTTTCTTTTGACGCAAAAACCTTTTTTGGACTTTTTCCTGTTTGATCTCAATATTTTTTTCTTAGGGCTTGGCACTTCTGTTATGGGTAAAGGTCTAAATATAATTCCTCTCAATATCAGAAGTCTTCTTCTAAAGATTGATTAAAAAAAAGATTGGTTTAGTTAGAATGAACCAAAAATAATTACCCTTTCGGAGACCTGGTTAAACGATTCTGTCTCTAATAATGCAGTTAATTTGGATAATTTTAACCTATTTCATGCTGAGAGACATGGGAGGGAGGGTGGGATTGCTACTTATGTTTGTTCCAGTCCCAAGTGGTTGTAGTTCCGTCAGTGAAACCTTCACAGGTCATCTTCATTGAGGTTATATTTAATGCCAACAAGTATGTCATAGTTGGGAACATTTATCTGCCACCTTCTTCTTTGCTAAAAATGAAGCTGTGAAAAATATTATTGCCACTGTTCAGTCATAAGGTACTGCTAAGGAACCTATTTTGTTGGGACACTTTAACTGAAACTGGCTCGATCAATCAACCCTTAATGAACTTAACCTTTTAAACGGCTCAAATGTCACTCAACTGATTCCTGCTCCAACCTGATTTGGTGCTAGTTGTTCTTCTCTTATTGACTGGATTTTAGTTACTCACCCAGCAGGATTGTTGATTCAGGGGTTCTACCAGATTGTTTTAGCAACAACTCAGTTACATACTGTAACTGGAAAATTTAGATTCTCTAGACTCCTCCTAAAATCATTAGGTTACATGACTTACATCATTTTAGTAATGAGTTCTATCTCCATGACTTACAGTTGATTAACTGGGATAGACTCTTGTTATTACCTGACCTAGACAGTGCTTGGAAATATTTCTATTCTAAATTTCTCAGTGTTCTTGATAAACATGCTCCTTGGATTAGTGTTGAAGTCATGGGCAATCACCTTCCATGGATCAGTAGTCAACTCATCGCCCTTTACAAACAACGTGACAAAGTATAGAACACTGGTCAATTGGCTGGTAATCACGTGGACTGGTGTAAGTATAACAGGGTATCCGCGGGTCCTTAAAAAGTCTTAAAAAGTCTTAAATTTGCTTTTCCAAATTTAAGGCCTTAAAAATCCTTAAAAATTACTAATAATCCTTAAATACAGTTTCCAAAGGTCTTAAATTACCAAAGAACCAATAAACAAGATTATTTTATTTCAATTTTCATGAATTTCTATTTAGTGTTCAGCATTTTTTGTGTACGATGTTGGCGTAAGCGGAACCATACACATTCAGTTGGTTATGAAAGGTTTTTTTTTTAGATGAGCACATTTGCTGTTTAAGCTAGTGGGAGATTGCGCCATGGGGACTTGCAACTTTTATGGTAACTGGATGGCTAATCCCACTTTCGCAACGTGGTTAGCACCGGTTCCAGGCAATAGCTGGAAATTATAGTTAAAATTTAATTAAAGAAAATAGCTTAAATTTGGTCAAAGTGGCTTTAAAAAGGTCTTAAAAAGTCTTAAATTTGGCTCCCTTAAACCTGCAGATACCCTGTATAAGAAACTGATAAATGACTGCACAACTCAAACTAGGAATGCCAAAGCAGCTTATTATAGAAACAGCTTAAATAACTAGTTTAAACAAAGTTAGCCCCCCTGCACACACACACACACAATGATTTTCAGTCAGATGAGAATTTTTTGCTTCAATCCCTATTATAAACGCAGTCGGAACAGAGGAATGGTTCCCGTCAGAAATAAATTAAAAAAAAAAATTTGATAAATCACGGATTAACGGGTTGTCATTTATGTAACATAACAAAACAGCCATGTTTTCTTCATCATGCACCAGAAACTAACTTTTATTTACAGGTCATGTCAAGATCTCTGGATGTCCTGTTCTGTTCTATTACTCCTTTAATATACAGACTTCCTGACTTCTTTAAGATATCAGAACTGCTTTCTATCTATATTATCTCTCTGTGCTCACAGAGAGAAGTGTCAGCTTTCTAACTAAAATGTACCAAAATTATGTTTGATCATATTTTGTTCAATTTAAATACAGTGATCCCTCGTTTATCGCGGTAGATGCGTTCCAGACCTGGCCGCGATAGGTGAAAATCCGCGAAGTAGGGACACCATATTTACAGTATTTATTTAACAGGTACGTATAGTATTCGGACTTTTAAAACCCTCCCTTTACATAGTACTGTTAACAAACCACCCTTTAATTCTTAACACGCTTAACAAAGCTTCCACTACACCTTACTTTCATTACATCGCTTAATTTATTCAGTTATAGTTTGTTAAACCCTTGTTTCTCATGATTTGTTTGTTTGATTTTCATAGGAACATAGTATAATAAACTGATTTTTATAAAAACTATATTTCTGAATTTCATACTCCATCTTAATTAAATAAGGAGGGTTTGAATCCCTGAACAAGTAACAGAAGAACTAAAAGTCATGTTAATTCAAACCCTTAAAGTTCAATAAAATTGATTAATCATATTTATATAATTCATTACATCTTATAAATATTTATTAAGTGTTGTTTAACGGTCCCTAAACACGAAATTTACATTTAATGAATCATTCTGTTTGGAATTAGTTTTATTTGGAAACTTGAGCTGTCAGTCTGGTCATCTTGGCAATGCGGCGTCTATGATCAAGGAACAGAAGATAGTTCTTGGGGGTTCTTGTAGTTGTAAGATGAAATATGAGCTAGAATCAGATTGGTGTGGTTTGTCATTTGCATCAAAAAGGGTCCCAAATTACAGCATAGAAGGATTTCCTTTGAGATCAGAGCGCTCACGGAGGATGCATTCCCACAGTGTGAATGCTGTTAAATGCTCCAATAACACAGATTAGTCATGATATAATGTCAGATTCCCGTTGGTCACATCTCTTTTATTGTTGTAGCAGCAATTATGTGAAAAATATGTTTTTCCAACAACATAATTACACACTTGGCAAGTATAATTTGTGGCTGAGGAACACGCGTGGATGACTCAGAGACCTTTACTACTGAGGTTCCCCCATTCAGCCACTAGATAATTGTGCATACGCATGGTCAGGGATGTTTCTAAATTTGTGAATGTACAAAATGATAAACGCCACGCAATGCGTAGAAATGTTCCTATGCATGACATATGCACGGATCTGTGCATCAGTACGTTTGATAAATGAGGGCCCTGGTCTATGAACATTTAATACCCACCTGTATCTGTCTAATAATTTGTTTTTGAATATATTATTGTAGTATCATTTAGACCAAAATTAATTTTATCATAAATTCCTCTTTCTAATAATTAGTCTCTGTACAAATTTATTGTGCCATTTGTGTGGTTTGTTTATAAGTGATTATTGAATATTTACGTGAAAGTATTTTTGTTAATATAACACAATTTATTATATTTGATTCATTTTACTTTCTATTATTTTATTTTATTTTAGTTTAGTTTTTGCTTATTTATTTTTAAGTTGTGGTAGTGCTCCTTTTGTCATACTGTAAGTTATTGTAATACCTTGTAAGTTAGAAAGTCACTGAGTGAGATAACTTTATTAAAAAGATTTAGATAAGCAGTTTTGTGTCTTCAGAGGAGTCAGGAGTGTGGAGATACCAAATAGTGGATAAATTAAGAATATTGGTCAAGAACATAGATGATCATATGACACCTCTAGTAAAAACTATAAAAGTAAACAAATAAAAACATTACAATAATATAGCCAAAAGAAAATAACAATAAAGCCAAAAAAGTCTAAAATTAACTAGATTTTTTATACTGCTTCAGTTTAGCTTTAAAACTCCAGACAGTTGATTGTTTAAAATCTAGTGGGAGTTTGTTCCATAGTCTTGGAGCCAGTATTGTAAAGGCATGCTCCCCTTGAGACCTACAGTTGAACCAAGGCTCAACCCATAAATCCTTATCTGCAGAGTGGAGAGGTCGAGTAGGAACATACCGTATTAAACGATCTACAAGGTGGTGTTGTTCCAGCAAACGCCTGGATAACAGAAACCAGGACTTTCATTTCAATGCTATGCTTTACAGGCGAACACTGCAGCTCATTAAGGACTGGAGATATGTGCTCCCACCATTTTACCCCATAGTTGAACCTTTTTGCAGCATTTCGCACCATCTACAGTACAGCAGTTGCATATTGAGTCATTCCTGCACACAGGGAATGGTAGTAATCCAGCCTTCATATGTCACATTTGATGTGTCAAAGTCTATAAATCCTTCCTCAAAATCATTGACTTGATTTTAGTTAGGCGTCGTAGCTGAAAAAAGCAGGATCTCACTGCTGCAGTCACTTGGGTGTCAAATGACAAGGAGTCAGTCTGTTCCAATGGGCCCAGTGACATGAGGTCCACACCATGAGGCTGGCAGTCATTACGAGTAAAAACTGTGACCTCTGTCTTGTTGTCAATAAAACACAGGATGTTGGCTGCCATCCAAGAATGTACCTCATTTGACACAGTTCACCAGAGGCTGAATCGTACCCAGCAACCCCCGATTTAGTGGCAAATAAATTTGAAAGTCATCAGCATACAAATGGAAGTTTACATTGTGCTTCCAAAACAAGATTCCCAAGGGGAGCAGGTAGATAGAGAAAAGCAAAGGACCTAAGGAACCCCCCATTTCAGAGGAGCATCCTCAGATGAACAAGTCCCCATAGAGACACAAAAGACCTATCTGATAGGTAAGATCTCATCCACTGCAAGGCATTTCCAGAGAACCCTACCAATTGTTCTAAACGGTCAAATAGGACCTGGTGGGCTACTGTATCAAAGGTCACCATAAGATCCAGAAGCAAAAAAACCACAGCATCCCCATCATCTGTAGCTAAAAATATACAATTTAGTACCCTTAACAAAAGTGTTTCAGTGCTGTGGCTGGTTCTAAACCCTGACTGCAGGGCCTCTATGATATCATGGTCGTTCAGGAATATAGACAGTTGTTTATTTACAATACTTTAAATTATTTTTGCACAAAAGGGGGGATTAGAGATAGGCCTATAATTAGCTAAATCTCATGAGTCCAACACCACTTTCTTAAATAGTGGCTTTACAGCTGCATTTTTCAGCTCCTGTGGAAATGTGCAGGAGGAAAAGCTACTATTTATGAGTTAAAATCACAGGGACTAAAACAGTAAAAACATACTTAAAAAACTAAGCTGGCATGGGATCACACTGGGAGCCAGCAGGCTTTAGTTTAGATACCAAGTCTGAAAAATTTGAATTGGACACAAGTGCTAATTTGTCTAATGCAGCAGCAATAGGACGTGGAGTTAAAGAGGAGGTTGTATGAGACTGCACCAAAGAGGATCCCACAGCTGCCTTTTTTTCCAGAAAAATGGAACAAAACTTTTCAGTTTTCTACTGAGGCTTCCAATGAGTCTTTTTCATTAACAGGCTCTAACACTGAACTGAAAGTTTTAAAGAGAACTTGTTGATCACCTGAGGCTGAGGAAATAATATTTGAAATAAAATGTATTCTACCCTCCTTAACAGCCCTATTGTAGCTTTCCAATTTACTCCTAAAAATGTTTCGGGTGTCACATTTTGAGGATGTTTAGGACCCAAATATGCAGATACCCAGGATGACACGAGGCAGGATATGATAAGAAAAAATCCTTTATTGGAGGAGCCAAAAAATAAAATAAATCCAAAAGGCTGGGAGCCAATAAATCCAAAGGCAGTCCAAAAACTAGAGACCAAAAACACAGGAGCCTAGAGAGGGCTGAGATCAAAAACACCGGAGACTAGACAAGACTGACAGAATACAAACAATGGACCGACAAGACACTGAGACAAGACAGGGCTTAAATACACAGGGAGGATGAGAGGGAGATGAGCTGCAGGTGTGTGGGGTGTGGGAGGAGGACCAGGTGAAGGCAATGACTAATCAGGGGAGAAACTAACTTGACCTAAGAATAAAACCTAATACAAAAGAGCAGGAAACATAACTACAGTTCAAAGGGAGGTGGGAGAGAAATAATAAACACTGATGGGAAAAAAACATACTAAATCATGAAAGGCTGTAACTAAAGGAAATGACTTGAGGAACCTAGAGGGCTGGAGATCTAGGGCCAAATGGGGAAAACCAGAAGACACATGAGGAAGATGCAGACATGACACATGAGGGTGCTAGGACACTAAAGGAGCACCTAGAGCGGATGGAGAAACACCAGGAGGCACATGAAGAAAGGGGCAGACGCAGACCATGACATCGGGAAGATTTAAGGCTGTCTTTTTTCATTTCCTTTCATCCCCCCTACAGTCACACCTGATAAATCTAATGTGTAGCAATTTGGTTGTGAACCAGATTGTTGCCTTATTATTTTCCCTTTTCCTTCAGGTTCTTTGACTTTGCCTGTTTGCAGTGTGAGTCTTTTCAAAATACTTCATGCCTTTACTGACAGTACAGTACAGTAGTATGTTTACAATTTAAGGACAAACTTTATTTCTACACTGGTTTAAGTCAACCTCAGACTTTTCATCTGGTTATTTATAAGTTCAAATGGCAGAAAAAAACAGAAATATTTAAGTACAACAGCCATGAAACCAAATATCAAATTATTATGCTTGAACTGTATGTCTGGTTTATCAACTTAGTTTGGACACTAATCATATTTTCTTAACTCAAAGTGAATTTAGAAATATTTTTTATTGTAATTTGTCCAAACATAGTTGTTAACACACACAATCTGTCCTGATTTTAGGAATTAAAGTGAGAATACTACTTTTGTCTGTGCACAACAATTTAATAGATGACCACTAGTAGATATTTGTTAAATGTATGCATTTATAAAAATGTCTGACAATATAAACTAATTAAAAATGGTTTTTATAGATTTATTACAAAAATAAAACCATTAAATAATTTGAAAAATAAATGAAAAGCTGTAGATTTCAGTTATTGTGTTGTTTGCTGCACTAATTTGGGTGCAGTGTCAAAGGAACACCTCTAGAGAGAGCAAGAGAGGAGAGAAATGGGTGGAGCCTCGGAAAAACCCCAGAAGGGCCTGCAGTACCAGAATAGGGCACTGGGGGAGGCAGAGAGCAAAAGTGTGTTAACTTTAGGGTCTCCAGAACTCACTTTTGGACAAAAGTGAGGACCATTGTGAAAATGAGGGAGGAGCATTAAAAACACCATTGGAGCCCATTTCAATCAAAAACAAAGTGAGGACCGCAAAAATGTCCTCACTTTGAAAAATGACCTCACTCTGTTGGTTAAAAACTCATGATGGTCCTCGGTATGTAGTAAGTACAAGAACGCACGCACGCACACACACACACACACACACACACACGCACGCACGCACGCACACACACACACACACACACACACACACACGCACGCACACACACACACACACACACACACACACGCACACACACACACACTTTACACTTTGACTGGCTGTCTCTCTCTGTGGGCACATGAATTGCCTGTCAATCCAGCAGCACCAGCCCAGTACAGACCTCAGTGCTTCACCGTTGCGGGGGTCAGGGGCTGGAGGTATTTGTGTGAACGTGTGCCTGCACAGAGAAAAACACGGGGTCAAGGAGCTGGACAAATGTGGAGGATTCCTCTATAACAAGCTCTGTGAAATTCTATATGCTGCTGATATTTACCTGCTTCGATATTGTAACAAAGCACCCTGGGATGGTGCGTATGTCCTCAGCTGCAGGATGCAAGAAAAAAAAGGATAAAACTCTGCAGTTGGACCCTGAGG